CACATTGTTGTGCATCATCAGTCCACTGTAGATTGATTCAACCTCCTGCAATGCTGCAGAGAATTCTTAGTTGTGAGGTGGTCAAGCAGCTACTAAATTCACTATTTTTGTTGCAACTGTCATTACATCATGGGGTTCTGTGAATCCTGCCTTGGCACACAATGCCTCCTGGTAGATTATGCAATGCAGTGGCACAACTGGCTGTCCATAAATGCTTTCACAAATCTGACCCATTTTTCACATTATATTGGGTGCCCACATCTGTGGCCAAAGAGACATCTTTAGGCATATTAATGCTTATGTGGTGGACATTGTTGCTAGCTTTACCAACTGCTCTTTTATTGTCTGACCATCAGAAAATGAAGGCTGCTGCATACATCAGCTGGTTTGTTTCAGCTAATGTAGTGGTTTGAATGGATTGCACAGCCTCATNCTTATCTAGCTTGGAAAGCTGCCATATAAATATTTTCCAAATGCAGTGCTGTGCAAGGAAAGACTTAACACAGAGTCTCTGAGATTCATGGACACATCTTCACGCTCCTGAAATAAATGAACAAATGAATGAATGAACAAATTGTTTCCTCCAAAAGCCCACTTCTCTTTCACCCCTCTTTTATTTCCTAAGGGAGGAGCCATTTACCATCCACCTGTGGCTTTATTCCCACGCCGACCCTGATTTCTTAATTGTTCTTTTCTTCTGGAAGCTCTGTGTATGCGCATACTGGGAATAGGATCCCACTGTTTCTCTGCCTCACTGCTGTCTAGCTCCAAAGGCAGCTGAGAACTGCCAGATGGCCTTGGCCCCATCTCTGCCGCTGATGCCATCTGAGCCTTCCCCAGCCTCCAGGACTGGCTCATTTTCCTCCCCAACCTCCTCACTGTCTGACTCTGCTGCCAGCTCTGCTGGCCACTGGCGGGCCACAACAAAGACATTGAGCTTGTCAGTTGGAGAGATGACAACCAGTTTGAGACCTGAGTTCCATGCAATGTGGGTGAGCTCCCGTTATTTGCCCCCAGCTCCTGTCCACCTAGTAGTTTACAAGCATGCAAATGCAAGTAAATTAATAGGTACCATTTTGGTGGGAAGATAACACTATTCCATGCACCTTTGGCATATAACCATGATGACCACATGACCATGGAAATTGTCTTCAGACAACACTGGCTCCCTCAACCAAGAAACGGAAATGAACACCTCCCCCATAGAGTCAAACATGACTAACAGGGAAATCTTTACCTTTCTATATAAGATTGTGTGGGGTCCTAATGAGGTCTTTAAAGGTGATAAACTGGAGGCAAGGAATTTTCCACTGGTTCGTTTCTTATATTCTGCTCTACTGTCACCATCAGGAAAGCTGTTCTCAATAAAGATAGAATCAATATTTCATGCCTTCTTTTCTATTTATTCTTATAAATGTCAAACTATCCCTCAGCTTCCTGCAATTTCGAGTAGTCGTTACAACTCTACATGCAGTTTGTTTTGCTTAGCCTTAGAGGATGCTTTTCTTGGTCCCATTTTTTCTTCTTTTTCTCAACTGCATCATTCTCCTTATGTGACATTTAATCCAGCGATCTGATTTTTCTTCCAGTGCCATCACTTGTAATATAATGGCAAAAACAAAATGACCAGAGACGAAAATCTCATGATTTTTTTGAGCCAGTCAAATAGATTCCCTGTGTGCAGCTGAAATCGCAGAGGAAAAAGGTAAATACATCTGTCTGACATACAAAAGAACATGGAATAGCACTGAAAAATGATTATTGTATGTCTTCCAATGACAAGAAAGAAAACCCAAATATCATTAGGGCACATAGCTGATTTTGCTACGCAGATTGGATCAGATCTGATTGAACCTTTTATTTAAATGTGTATTTCCAAAGTTATTTCATTCAATTTTCTGGAGAGTTGAATGACTGAACATACACTCAGTTCAGAAAAGAGGCTTTCTATTGTTATGGCCCAAACCTGGCTCAGCTAAAGCAATCAATCCACTTTAAAGTTACAACATAATTTCATTTAGCATGCAATCAATAAACAGTTAAGCAGCCCTGATCAAAAGCAGAACCAGAACTTATTTAACTTTGGCCTGGACTGTAAAGACAAGACAAAGGAAAAAGGCAGACTTTGGAGACTGGGTAAACCCATCTATGTAATCTTATTATTATATATCTTTTCCTCATTGTCATCATGCCAGCCATACTATCTTTAAGATAAGGACAGTGAATAGAAGCACTGGCCCACAGATTTCTAACTGAGTCTTCTCTCTATCACGAGTCAGGATCACTTCTGGTTGCTCTGAGTAGTTTCTTATAAGGGCACTTTACCCACAGTTCATATGCTTGGATATGGGGAGGAAGGGGTCTCAAAGCTTGTAATGAATACAGCTGTCATGTCATGTGGAGGTACATTTACCCCCACAGTATGCCTATGCCAAAGATAATGGATCAATTTGGAGATAACTAACCAACAATCTGATTTGGAATCCAATGGCATTTAAATCTATTCCAAAAAGATAAGCATCCTTAACTCTCCCATACAACGGTTAAATTCCAGAGTCAAGTCATAAGGATTTGCTGAGTTCAGGCCAGACAAGAGTATTATTATTCACTTCATTAACAAGATTTTTCTGTATTCTCAGACTGTTTTAACTTTTACGATCTGGTCTTGGGCGATAATAAAATGTTTTTTCATTCAATTTGGAAAGTTGATTTGATTCAGAGATTTCATCCAATATGTTTATACCCTATCCCTTAACTGATTTTTTTTTTTACATCGTTCTGGTGACTGGAGTGCAAAAAATGAATTCTTTCAAGATTATAGGAAAGAAAGGCATGAATAATTTTGCATGCATAATCTTCTTAGTGGTTGGAGAAATCATGTGCTCAAGATGTAGATTGAGAGAGAGAGAGAGAGAGAGAGAGAGATGGAGGGGAAGGGATAGAGTGAAAGAAAGAAAGAAAGAAAGAAAAAGAAAGNTCAACCCTGAGCCGGTGAGATTTGAACCGCTGACCTGCTGATCTAGCAGTAGCCTGCAGTGCTGCATTTAACCACTGCGCCACCTTGGCTCTATAGAAAATAAGAACATTGGTACTATAATAATCCACAAAGATGCTACAGAGACATATCAAGTCTTATGGTATTAAAGGTCACTACTTATAAAGAAATTAATTGGATTGCACTTCTGTCCTGCTGTTACCTAGGCTTGAATTCAGGCTGAAACAGAAAAGTCATCTTCTAAGAATGCTTAAAGTTGGTCAGCCTAACTTTTCAGTAATGTTCAAAGTAAATTGTTCCCAAAAGTAGAGCTACCAGAAATCTGGTGCAGAAATCTAGGTAACCACCAGATGGCAGCAATGTTTATTGCAATCTAGTACCATAATTCTCTAGATTGTTTAAACTACAGATTTCCTAGCAGTAGGAGACCCCTGATAACTAGATTTCAGATGCCATGGTGGGCTGCTGGAGCACAGAATGCATCCCCAGCATTATCAACATCAATGACATTATTCTGTGCAGAAAGCAAGTAATATTTGTAAATTGAACCGATTATTGACCAGTTCTGTTTCCACAGAAATATGATACATTATATTTGCTCTACGAAGGATAATAAAAAGATCAGAGAAAGAAAAGGAAGAGGAAGCTAAGTCCAGCTGCCATAAGCTCCCTCCCTAGCTTTTATTTTGCTTGCAAGTGATGGATCATCTGCCTTGTAACTTGGAAATTGTTCCAAAACTTAGTCACTGGCTTGGAACAGAAACTTAAGTGAGGTCATTTTTCAAAGAAAAGGTGGTACAAAATGATCTTTATTGCAAGATGATAAGGATATGTTTTGTTTTTATGTATTGACATGGTGTCTTGCAAAACATGTACTAGTGACCACAAAAGGTATAATCATAGGGCCTTAACTATGATAAACTCAAAAATGTGAGAGGCCACATTTATTGTACTCATGCTTTCTTCTTCTGAGAGTGTGTATAAGAAATGAATAAAGAGAGATGAGATGGAAATTTGTCTGCCACAGATCCCTTTGGTATTCAGACAGCGGTGGGTTTCAAAAAATTTTAGAATCTCTTCTGTAGGTGTGGCCTGCTTTGTGGGAGTGGCTTGCCGGCCATGTGACCGGATGGGAGTTGCTTCCTGGCCATGTGACTGGGTGGGAGTAGTTTGCCAGCCATGTGACTGAGTGGGCATGGCCAACTTGTAAATGTGGTGAAACTCACTTAACAACGCTCTTGCTTAGCAACCAAAATGTTGGCTCAGAAACTCTGGCATTGAAGTGTGCATATCTTAAAGTTGTCAAGTTATAAGACCCTTGCACCCCTACCCTTTAGAAAAAAAAACCCAGGGGTGTTCAAACNAAAAAGATAGGAAGAGCACTGATATTACAATTTACTCATCTCATTAAATCCCCATTTCTGGGGGACCCCCAAGCCTGTTGGTGATCAGATTTTAAGGAACTTCTCAAAGAACATCAAGAAGGGGACCAGTCTCACAAGGTGGGCACCATGGGAGTAAAAGGCCCGTCTCTTGGGTGCTACCAAATATAGTTCCGTAGTAAATGGACATGGAACATGTGCCTTCTGCTGGCCTGACAGGGTGGACGGAAGTAATCAGCAAGGGGCAATCCCTCAAATAATTCCCAGCTCACACTGGCATCAGGTGGAGAGTGATATTAAAATAATCCTGGCTTTGGCAAAGAGGTGGCTGTGTCTAATGAAGACTTGTTTGTTCTTTGGGAAGGTTGGTAGAAATCTGAGTAGCATCAAGAGAGCCTAACAGCTTCATCCTGTTCCCACTTTTATAGATTTTCTGTTTGGATTCTCATCAACCTGCGCAGAAGATAAGGCTGGTTTTTTTTAATATATCCCTAGCTTTTGTGTGCTCAACTGGTCCTTCTTTCCAGAATTTCATTCCCCAGTTTCTAAGAAGGCAGATGTTGCTCGTGTTCAGAGATTCTCATTGTTTATGCAAATCTTTTGTTTTTTTAATTTCCTGAAAGGTATGTTGGCTCATGCCGGAGCAGACTGCAGGAAAACAGAAGCCCTACATGTACACTCAAGGCCAAGCTGTTCTGAACAGATCCGTTTTCCCCTGCTTTGACACTCCTGCAGTTAAAAGTTCTTATTCAGCTATTATAAAGGTAAGCTATATAGGAGGAGAGCATGTTTAAACCCTGCAGTTCAGTGTGTTTAAAAGCTAGGATTCATTACAGGAGAGATTATTATTATTATTTTTAAATGCCGTCTCTCACTTTTTTACCTCAGGGCTTTCAAAGCCTGAGGTCATGTATCATATTAATCTATTTCACCTTCTTTGCTTTGAATATGCCCCGGCAGCTGGGATTACACAAGGCAAAACCAAGCTAACAAGCCTTGAACAATAATTGTTTTTCAAAGTGTATTTTCTGCTATGTATCTCCCGTGGTATACACCAGGCCTGTCAAACTGGCAGCCCACGGGCCGGATGCATCACACGCAGGCAATTTGTCATGTGATGCCGTTGAGTTTGACACCCCTGTCATAGACCAGTGATGGCTAACATTTTTGTCCTCCTGTGCCAAAATCGCGCACACCTGCCCACACCCACAATGCAATGTGCCCCATCCCCTGAGCATGCACTAACGATACGCACTAGCAGGTGTCCCTGAAGTCTCTTGATACCAAAAACGGGGCACGGGGGGTGCCATTCCCTGTCCCCCGTTTTGGATCTTGCAGGCCTCCCTGAAACCTCCTGAAACCAAAAACGGGGCATCGGGGAGGGGGGCGTGCGCAGCTGGCTGTTGGGAGGCGCACAACTCGCATGCCCGTAGAGAGGGCTCCACTTGCCACACATGCCATAGGTTCACCATCATGGTCACAGACCACAAATTATATCAATTTTACTTTCAAAACCTGGTGTGAACTTATCCAACTGCTGCACTTATCACTTTCCTTTTGCATAACTATTGCTTCTTGAACCTTCCATTGCAAACCTCTTTCCAAAAAGAAGGCTTTTGATTTGGTGGGGTGGGGTGTGTGCTGGAGGCTAGCCCCTGTGCATTGTACACACAATGGCCTTTTACTTGTGTGGACCTCCTGAATAGCATTTGCACGTTCTGTCCTTTTGCAGAATAAAAAAATCCTCACTCTTTTCTTTCCTAGAAGAAAATGAAAGAGGTTAATCCTTCTTCCCAAAGCATGACTAGCCAGTTTTTCTTTTTTTTTTAGGTCCCAGAAGGCTTCACTGCTGTGATGAGTGCAGTTACCAGGGAGAAGCAGAAGGGGAACACTTTCCTCTTTGAGATGCCTCATCCTATCCCTTCTTATTTGGTGGCCCTGGTCGTTGGGGACATTGTTTCAGCAGAAGTGGGACCAAGGTAAAAGGCTGCTGCAAAGATACCTGTCATCCTAATCCAAAAGGGATAATCCAGATCACTCTTTCTCCAGTTGAATCCTAGGAAGGGAACTGCAATCCAACTTCCTGGGAGACCGGTGGATAGTTCAGCAAATGCTGTTGTTGTGATCAGGTGGGAGTAGTGGAGCACAGGGAGAAGCCCTTATCTCCTCCCCCCCCCCCTTTGTCTCTCAAAGTGGCTTCTTACTCTTCTACTCTCTAACAAGTTTGGATAGTCCTTCAGATTCGATTCTGAATGGATGTTGCAAAGATTGCAGAGACACAAATGCAGCTCCTGAGTGCAGGTGTTTAAAGCATCCACACATTTTCCCAGAACCATGTGGCAACAGCAGTATAATCTTGCTCTTCAGCATTAACCAATTTCATTGTATTTAAGTACAATGACAATAAAGATTATACTTATACTTATTATTTAGTACAAGCCTTTTCAACTTTGTAGTGAGACTGCATGTGTGCCCAAATTGAGATTTGCATCAGGCCCTGAATATGATCAGTCAACACTTAAGAAGAATAAATAATTGTTTTCTATTTCTAAAGTAAAAGCCATGTTGTACTTTGCTTATTTCTGCCTTACCCTGAACTGTTAGACACATTTTACATTTAGTTGTATTTTTTTATATTTACTCTGTGTGGGAACTGATCAGTGGTGGGTTTCAAATTTTTTTAGAACCTCTTCTGTAGGTGTGGCCTGCTTTGTAGGTGCGGCTTGCTGGCCATGTGACTGGGTGTGCATGGCCAACTTATAAAATGTGTGATACTCACTTAAAAATGCTCTTGCTTAGCAACCAAAATGTTGGCTCAGAAACTCTGGCATTTGAAGCATGCAAGTCTTAAAGCTGTCAAGTTACAAGACCCTTGCACCCCTAACCTTTTAGGAAAAAGTCCCAGGAATGTTCAAATTGACAGCTTTAAGACTTGC